AGTGAAAAATTAATTGAATGAGTAGCAACTCAGGGACTCAAGGGGCAATTACTTACGTAAAGTGGGGTTATAAGGCCAAGTGGAATAAAAGCAGGGAGAATGAAGACAATTGCTCGACAGGACTGGGGATCTACGTATTTCAAGGAACTGCAGCAGCTGGCATTTCTCCACCCAACTAATGACTATGTGGCCATGATATCCATTGGCGTTGCTGAGCATATGCTGCTTTGCCTAGCAGTATTCTGATCCTGGGCATTTACCGTGTGCATTAGGCTAATGATAATTGCTGTGGACTCCTGAATTTTGTACAACCCTGCTTGCAAATATCCCTGCACAGCAAATAAAATTCATATATAATGCTTAGGCTTACTAAGTACAGGTATTGCTAGACAATGTAAAATTCCCCAACCTAATGCAAAACCCGTGAGGCTCAGATGTCAGCAACGGACCTGCATGCTTCCAATCCACCAACTTTATTTCCTGTGTTATGCAATATATCTCAGACACAACTAATTGAAAGTCGAGTACTTCTGTGTAGCTCTAAGGATTAAGCAGCAGAAACTTAAATCGAATTTAATTAGAAGCTTTTTGTCTTTCATTTTTATTTCACAGATCTAAAACAAGTACCCAGTACACTTACTTTATCATAACACAAGTTTAAACCTGCCAGGAGGCAAATAGTAAGGTCAGCCCACATTGTTACAAAACCAGCAGACCAAAGAAAGCTGTAAAAGATGCTGCACATATCCTTTCTTTTTTTGCTGTAATGCTGCTTACAACTTCGAAGTATTTTGTCTTGCTTTTACCAACAGTGTCGTCATTACTACTAAACAGGAAACAAATACTAATAAACTAATTTGTAGTATATTAGGCTGGAAAGTGAAAAATTAATAAATCATGCACAGTTCAAAATACAAGACAGGCTCCCTTTATTATTATTATTTTTAATACATACACCAGCTTCATCCTAGCCCTTTTCACTCTCATCCACTCTTGTAAAAAAAAAAAAAAAAAAAAAAAAAAAAAAAAACAAACAAACAAACAAACATCATAACTCACTGTTAATTCAAGTTTCCCTGAGATTTGAGTATAGAACAAGACAACTTCCTCTGAGGACTGAGAGGGTAACTTGTTTTCTCTTAGGCACAGCCAGACTCCAAGTTATGATCATTGTATTTTCTCTGGTCAATAAGAGTTTGATCTGCAGATGGCCAGACTGACAAGTCCTTGTAACTGAGAATCCAAGAAATTCTGTGTAACAGTAAGCTATAGTAAGAGACACAACTTGAAAAAACCAACATGCTACACTCATTGCTAACATTTTGTGTCATAATAAATCCTTAATTATAATCACAGTCTTATGGCCAGCCCTCATTCTGCCAAGCATCCCTAAACAACCTGCCTGTCTTTCGCAGTGCTGGGTGACAGCATGGCTGAGCAGAACCAAATATATCTTCAAGAACTGTGAGAGGGACACGGCCTTCCCTCCTTCCCATCTCTCAAGAGAAGTATGGCTCTAAGATGCTACAACAGAATATATTCTGCTCCTCTCTCTGCCATGACCTTCATAAAAGCATCCAAGAGAGAAAGAAAAAGGCAGCATTAGCTCATCCCTTAAAGGAAAAGTACCATCTTATGCTGTTCTGGCACAACAGAATATTTTAACAGGAATTCACCCTTTAAGTAAATTTTTTTATGCACAACTTTGTGCAGGGAATGACAGAGGGAGAAAGCTCTCCAAAGAGAAAGAAACACAATTTACAATCTTTAAACAATTACACACAAGTGATGGAAGACTGACTTTTACCTCACTAGCTGCCAGCCATCACAGCTTCTAACAGAAGGTTTATTTAGTTCTTGTTGTTTTTTCAAAGTTGGGAAGGACAGTCAAAAGAAGTGAATTAATATATAAGGATCAGAAAACATCTTAAGAATCTCTCTTCATTTTCACACACCCACAGCTTGCAGCTTTATTCATAGGGTTAGGAAGCTTACATCATTCCATGGATTGAGCAAATATTGTATGCTGCAACATCAAACTTGTAGCTCATGTGCCACAGCTGACATTTAAAGCTATTAAATGAGCATTTTTATGATCGGTACATGTCTGCTTTCCTTTGCTCATTCATGTGCGTGGCTGATCTGTAGCAGCATTTCTGATTCAGTAAATTGGAGCTTCATAATGGTGTGCTGAAATACTACATAAGACATACCAGCAGGCTCCAATGTAAGGAAAGATGCAACATTCTGTAATTGGTTAACTCTGCTCATCCTGGCAAAACAGGGATAAAAGAAGGAATCTTAGTTTGAAATCACTTTTTTTTTTTTTTTTTTTTAAATGAGCTATCTCTCCAGGTAAGCTGCTACTCTGATATTGTAGCTAAGAATGTGCATTCCCTCAACACGTGGGAAGGAAAAATTATGCAGAAACAAAGGATTAATTATTTTTTCATATATATTACCATTGTGATTTTTTTTTTCCTAGTGGTGTGCATAACTCTAGTGCCCATTTCAATAAATGTTGAAAAATATAAGAAATCCTCCCTCAGCTTTACAAGGACCCACAGCCTATTCACATCTATTGTAACCAGACAGAGTTGCTCAGGCTATTTTATAATTCAAGACAAACAGAAGCAAGACTAGCACTCATTATTGTGAGATTTCAAAGGTCCTAATCAGTCAGTGGGAGTGGAATGAGTAACTTCTGAAAGATACCCTTTAAATCAGTGTTAATAACAGTCTAATTTGCCAGAACTGCTATTAGTTTCTTTCCCAATTGTTAAGTCACTACACAGTCTGTGCATGTCCTACATGATCCCAAGTTACCTGACTGACGTATACACATGTAGGGCAAAGCTGCACCACATTTACTTTAGAACTGGGAATCTAAATTAAATTTCTAGAGAATATATTCAATGGATTAAAAGTTTAAACAGCTAAGAACATGTAATGATCACAGAAAGACCTCCTTTAACTACACGATCACTGCAAAACCTGAAGGAAACACTCAAAATCAGTACAGCAAGGGTAAAGCTGTACATTATGCTTGATATTAAGTAGTACTGAGAGATAAAGGCACGTAAAATAATCTATCACACAACAAGCTGTAAAATATTTACACTTAAATGCAAAGTTGCTAGTAGAACTGCCATAGGAAAACATCTACATTTATTAGATAGACTTTTCAGAGTGCCTAGTACAACCTAGTACAAACGCCTTTGCAGACAGCCCTAAAGATACAGGTAATTGAAGCTTTAACCTGTCTGTAGACACTGATATAACAGGTTGTATGCCCATGTAATCAAGACCCAGTTTCATACTGACTGGCGTACAGCTGGCATGCACAGCGTTAGTTACAAAAAAACGATATTATGAGTCACAGGGAAAATTACAGTTGCACAGATTTCTGAGTGTGGCAAGCCTTGTAGAGTATACAGGCTTATTTGCATAATTAGCTTGTGCTTACACAACGTTCTCCTTACTGTGCTGGCTTAAAACTGCATGTATCAGCACATCATTATTTATTGGCACCAGAAGGGCAGCAGTTAAACAGGCCCTGTCGCTGCCGCACAGAGCAGAGCTCAGCGCTGCCCTCCGCTCCCTGTGAGGAGCTGCTGTGAGGCCTCCCCTCAGCTCCTCTGCTCTGGGCTGAGCACACCAGGCACCTCAGCCGCTCCTCACACCTTGCCCTGCAGACCTTTCACCGCCTTCATAGCCCTGCTCTGGATGCCCTCTGACAGTTTTATGTCCTTCTGGCACTGTGGCACTCACGTGGCATGCAGTGCTGGAGGCGAGGCCGTGCAGAGCAGAGCGGGACAAGCCCTCCCCTCACCCAGCGGCAGTGCTGGGCCTGGCGCATCCCCTTTGGCAGCCTGGGCACGCTGCTGGCGCACATCGACTTGCCACCAGCCAGAACAACAGAGCCCTTTCTGTGGGGCTGCTCTCCAGCCTCTCACCCCCTGCATCAGTGAACGCTGTCTCTTAATGCAGCTCAAAAATGGGGATGGAAGTTATCTGAGACACCTTAAATGAGAGGCCACCTGCCACTCTTGAATTCAATTTTGCACCCATAGTACAGCCTCCATAGAGAGAGGAACGTGTTGCTATCCAATCTTAGGTGGTAAGAATAGTGGTGGCTTGAATCATTGCTGCTACAGAAAGAACTGAATCTAGACAATCGTACTGCCATAGCAACTGTGTGTTGGTGTACTGACACAACCATTACGTTATGAAAAAGTGAAGAAATACCTCTTCCATCTCCCTTTTAGAAAGGAAATAAACATAAACCTTCTCTGAAAAGCACAGTCCAGCCAGTATGTCAAGTTTGTTACAAGCATACCTATGGATCAGACTTCTTGGGCAACACGGCAGACAGGAAAAACTAAGATCCACCCTCAAATGGATGATAAGAGGAAAATTGCTGAGGCAGATCTCTACATGCACAGAAGTGTAACTCAGCAATTGAAGAGCGTTGGAATAACAGCAGAACACACCTACTGAGCCAGGTGTAGTCAACACCTTAAGAAAAGATACTTCAGGTGGCAAGCTGAAATATATTCACCTGTGTCATCAGATTTATTGCAGAGATTGTCTATTTCTTGTTGATTGCCCCATAACGGATATTAATTCTATTTTGTGACTTCTTTCATAAAGAAGTTGTCTTCCAGCCAATTATTTAAGAATTTATGAAATAACACTGAACAATACCCACAATTTTTTGCAAGACTGGGGGGGAGAAGAGAGGAATCAGTGAACAAGTCTTACACAGGAATAATTTAATAATAATTTAATAATCTTTGTTGGAAAGAGTGCAGGGTTTTTGATTATGTTTATGTCTCTAAAGTATCCGTTCTCTCCAAAGTTTTCATTATTCAGAAAGGCATGCCTTGAAACAAGCCTTTTTCTTTAGCAACAGGCTGAGTAACTGAATTGAATGTACATACAATGACAAGCTTAAGGCAAATGAATTTTGAGAACACAAACACAGTTGGTAGACAAACTGGACAATAACAAGGCTTTTAATTCCCTTTTTTTCAAATAAAATTAAACTTTGAATTCCTGTGAGAATAGAGACATCGGGTTGCTGTTTAATAGGAAGCACAGTGCATGCTCTGCACAACACTGCATTCACGCAAGTAGAACTCAATTCTGAACAACTGATGACACTTTTCTTTTGCTTTGCAGTTCTTGCTGCCTTCCTTACTGTTAGGGCCCTCCGAAGCTTGGCACTTGTTGACTGTGTCACAGGGCGGCCATTTGTGCCACCCTGTGAGGGAAAGGACCCTCTGACACCTATGGTAAGCTGACAATTTTGGTGTACCTGTGTAGAAAAAAACACTACTAACAGAATCTTAGTATAAACTCCTAAAGAAAGCAATATTATGTGAACAGTTTCCCTGATTTCCTTCTTTCTTCCATGCATTCCTGATTATACATGTTGTCTTTTAGGGAGCATTACTGTTGCTAAGAGCTCTAATGCCAACTAAAGTGGCTTGCTAACCTCTCATCAAGGGTTACACCAAACCCTTGAAGTTTCTGAACCATGTTAGAACAAGACAAAGGTAAATCAGTTTCATGTATGTTAATAACCTTTACGAAACAGATAAAGAGGTAAATCAATATTCACATAGAGCAGCACACTGTTAGATCAGCTAAAGAGGCAAAAACATCTTGATTTAAATGAGGTTGCAAAAAACTGACTGAATAAATTACTACAGTCAAACAAATAGAATGCTGGCTAAATGGGACAAAGAATCAGATTGATTCATGAGGCTGACATCAGAAAGAACTACTTTGTGTTAGTCTTGTCTTCAGGGAATTTCAGCAGAAATCCAGATCTAATCACCACAGCTTTCATGTCCCATTGGTTAAAAAATAAAAAATAGTAAAAACATCACCAGAATCCTTAATACCAGAACAATAGTGCAGGTAATGAAACACTTGCATTCATCTTAAGAAAGTACTACCACTTAAATACTCCTTATAAAAATATTTCTACTCCTGCACGAAGTTGTGGCTAACTGACCTTTGAGTTGGGAGCACAGAATTATTTTAGATTGTAGTAGTTAGAAAAGGCTTTCAAAGCACATTCTAACTAGCTTTTGAACAACAGTGCTTTTTAATCATAACCTTTTTCAACGATATGTATCAGCAATTATTGGGAAATAACCAAAATAATATTACTAGGCCTGCACATACACACATAAGTTATAAATAAAGCCAATGTTCTTAAAACAGAATAATTAATAAAATTAAAAAAGCAAGAAGAAAATTAAGTCCAAAATTCTTCTTAGGATCTTTACCTTATGAATTTGATAATATTTGTTACTTGGAAGAGGACTGCTGTTGTCTGAAATTTGTAATGCCTGTAATTTAATCATCAGTGGGTTGCAGATATGTCTGGTTGTCCACAATAATTTTTCCCTTTAAGGTCTTCCCCTTTTTCCTTCCCTGAGCGGTTTGCCCACTGAAAGCCAAGGGCATAGAATTCTGGGTGTGAATGGCAGAGGAAAATAATCACTTTTCTTCCACTTGGTCTTTGCTTTTATGGGCAAATTGTATACTCAGCACTGCAGACTACATTCATAGTTTCAGGACATTTAGGTGAATATAATACAATTCAGGTTTTGCTAGTAAGGCTCAACTGTATCCTACTGAACTAAATTTGTTATGATTCATACTAGAAAATGTTATAATTAAATCAAGATCAGCCACATTAATCAGAGGTCATATACTCTTCCTAAGGAGACCTACTATACCTTGTAGTCATTATGCTTTCCGCTAGAAGCAGCTTTGCAGAACCCTAAGTATGGAGGGGCTAGGTCCTTCCCCTTCCTCTTGGAGGGGCCAAACAGCTTACAGGTACAAAACCTGTAAGAGTTAGTTCTTTGGGATGCTGAAATGGAGGAAAAAAAAACTGTAAAGGCCAGAGAGGACTGCATGGAATTACAGAATTAGGTATGATTTAATTGTTTTTCAGGATACAGGGATGGAGCCACAGATGTACTCAGTTACCTCATGGCTCATGTATGTAAATACTCATATGTCCTTGAAATCACTGGAAGGTATTTAGAGGGAAAATAATACGTGTAAAAGTCAATAAAAGTAATAGAACCCTATAAACCCTTGTGATCCGAACCCACCCCCCAGTGCCTACATTTCCAAGGCTCATTCAAAGTAGATCTACTGAAGCTAAGAATTTTAAAGCTAATCTAACATCAGCAAAGACACATAACACATCAAATCAGAAAGCTAATCAGACAGTACACAATAAAATATATATATTTATACATATAAATTATACATACTATACAGACTTTTTGGACCATATTCAAATTAGGTCTTAGAGAAGTAAAATGGAGCATCCAGTTATCTACTTCCCCATGCATTTCACGAACAGCACCAGTTATAACACTTCAGTTAACTAGTAAGAGAAAGTGGTGCACATACGATCACTAGACACGACAACATACTGCAGGCCATCTTGTTCTTTGCATACTTACCAATCTTGGAATATCCCATGAAGATCCTCCCATCCTAATGTGTTCTGACTTCCTGCAGTCTGCTTTATCTAATTCCATTTTCACTGAGCCATTAAGCCAAAAATGCTAAGAATTGCCATTTAAACTTTCCCCATAATAAAGGAGTTGAGGTGTTTTATGCCCCACCTACACAGTGAATTGATCCAGCTGATTCAAGAGCTACGACTCCCAAATTTAAAGACCCAGTTTGTCATGGCTCTGAATACTGAGTTTGAGAGCAGCAAAAAATAGAGATATCGTGGTTCAGAACAATGAAAAAAAAATATCTTTAATCCACTTCCCCACCCATCATTCTTACTGCAATTAGCTTCACCCAGTTCCCAAGTTCCTATGTCAGAAGCCACAAACACTCTGCTGATCTGTGCTGATTCTTTGCAGCAGCGGTTGTCTGGCGAAGAAATTCCCTTCAAGAGCTGCCAGCATCTATCCATGCAGATAGGCTTCAAGCCAGTGTTCCCCTGACTCTTTCAGTGAGCTGCAAGAACAGAAAGTTAAAACATCATTTATGAGGAGACACTATTCAGCTCCCATTAAAGAAAGAGTGCTTCTACATATCTTAATTGATACTTACTTCAAAATATCTACAAAAGCTCTGAGTAAAGTCTTGCTTTTATACTCAATGCCGTGCTTATCACAAAGGGCTTTCACCAAAGGAGCTGCTTTCCAGTAGTTGTGTCGAGGCATTGTGGGGAAAAGGCTGCAGAATTCAATGATACACAGTTATTGAAAGGCTTGGCTTGCAAAATGCCCTGTACCCATTGTTCAAATTATTTCCCAATCATCCCCCAGAATGAGAGCAAAAGATCTTCTGATGAATGTAGTTTTATTTGAGATAACACAGTCTTTCTCACTTCTAAGTGCCCATTATTATCACACTTCTCCCCATAGTCATACTCACTGGTGCTCAATTTGGAAGTTCAAGTGCCCGGTGAACCAGTCATTGAAAAAAGACTGGTTCACATTACATGTTGCATGAAGCTGGGAGGAAAAAAGACAATGATTTAGATTTTATTTTTCTGGAAGTCTAGATAATTACACCTTAACAATCATCTTTGTCTAGCATAAAAGACAACTTTTAGTGTCAGAGATTATTGCCTTAATTGACCTGAAGAATTAAGCAAAGTCTAGCTTAAAATGGATTCTTGGAATAGAGGTCAATTTGGCTAGACTTTGCCTTAGGAAGAATAGTTTTTTTCACTGATGTGCACGCAGGCCTGACTGATACTATGGGATGACAGGACCATAGTGTATAACTGAGAACTGCAGGCCCATGGCTTCCAGAAGAAAGAGGATTCTCACCTGAGTAGATACCCAGTCATTGTTCTTGTCATAATCAATGTGCATTGGAATGTGGTTCATCTGCGAGACCCAAATAAACCATGTACTCTCTAGGTACCTGACCAGATAAACATAGAAACACACTTAATGTATCTAATTGCATCCAAACTTGCCATTAAAGCAGACGTTTTGACATCTGGCACAAAAAAAGAGCTGTGCAGGGAGTAGGGGCTGAGAGCTTTTCAGTGGCAGTTACCAAGACTCAAAAAAGTAATGGTCTTAAAATATCTATCTATCTACCCAGCCTCTTGTAAGACTTATCTTACAGAGCACACCTGTAAAATTCAGCATTTTCTATTCCATTCCTTTGCCTCTTAAATTTTGGGGGAATTGCCTCCTAACTTTCTTTTGAGCCACAAAATCTGTCATTGCAGAGGTCCTTGAGCAGCCTCCCTCCACCCCCAACTTGTAATGATTTTCTCGGCTCACTACTTATTCATGAGCAAACTTTAATTTTGTAAAGTCTGACCAGTATGAGTTGTACGACTATTTTAGTTATTTCCATTGACACTCGATATTGTTTACCAATCTTAGTCATGGGGACTTTGAGTACGCTGTGTGTTACCTGGACATCCAGTAGTACACCATGAAATTGTTAAATCCCATTAAAGGAATATACATGAGGCAGACTCGGATGTTGTAAGACACCACCAGTAACAGTTCCTGTTAAAAAAAAGAAAAAGAAGATGATGCCTTTTTTGAAGATATCCCTCATTTCCTCTTCTTCACATTATTTCAGCATAATAGATGTTCTTCCTATGATCTCTTACTTATCAAGTGTGAGCTCCATGCAATCATTCAGCCTCCTGTGTGTATCCCTGAAATATTCTCAGAGCACTAACTTTAAAATCATTAACTAAACATATGTAATCCCACTCTGTCTAGGTCACTTACTTTTCTGTTAGCTTTTATCTACCTACTGTGATGTTAAAAGTCATCTCCTGACAAATTCACTCTGGACTTGTTGAGATAAGCATTCCTACTGCAGCAGCCTAAAAAAACCCTTTTTTATTCCAAACATCATAGTCACCTTGGTTGAAATTTGACATAGCCACCTGGAAGTGCTAGGGGTCAGCCTTAGTAGGCAGCTAAGCACTACACAGCTCCTTGCTCACTTCCCCATCCCTGGGAGATGGGAGAAGAGGAAAGGAAGAGTAAAAGCAAGAAATTTTGTGGGTCGAGATATAAACTGCGTAATAACTGGACATGGAAGACGGAAAAAAAAATACACAGTGAAGCAAGAGATGCAAAAGCAATCACTCACCTCCTCCCACAGGTTGAAGTAGACTGATGTCCAGCCAGTTCCCAAGCAAAAGATGACTAATCTCCCTAAATCTCTTTTTTCCCCTTTTTATTGCTGAGCATGACATTTTATGGCATGAATAGCTCTTTGGTTAGTTTGGGACATCTGCCTGGTTGCATCCCCTCCTCTCACACTCTTGCACTAATCACTGACAGAAGGCAGAGTGAGAAACAGAGGTCTTGATGCTGCACAGAAGCTGTTTAGCTATAGCTAAAAGTGTGGTGACAGCACTGGTTTACTCACACATCTAAAACAGCACTGTATGAGCTGCCATGAGGAAAATTAACTCCAACCTATCCACAGACAGTACAAGTGGTTACATTTTTGAAAGATTTCTAGACAGTGTAATCGGTGCTTACCAACCACTTTTTCTTCCTGATTGCAAAGTAGAATATGGACAGCTGGAAGAAGGGTATAAGTGCAAGTGGGGCCAATACTGCAGGAAAGAATGAAAACAGAGAGATGTTTATAACTTTGCTGCAATATAAATCTTTCAGAAATATTCTCCTCTGCAGTGAAAGGAAAGCTTGCTGGTTTCCACTTGCAGTAGCTTTCATGTGCCCACATAATCTGTTCATTTCACTTCAGCACCCTTCATTTCTTTCCCATTTAATTTTCTTTCCCATCCCTTACACCTGAATAACACTTATGTTGTTACCAACCATCAAGTAGTAGGGGAAGTTCCTCCTCACGTGAAGAAATGTCCCTAATTTTAGAGATTTTAGGATCTCCCTAGTGTTGTGATTGTCTCTGAAGCTGTGATTTCAATGGGAAAAATCTTTAAACCTACTACTTTGGGAAGGAGATGAAGTTGGAGTTCTGTGGCGATGTACCTACAGCATTATAGGAAAGCAGAGATACTCACAGCTGAAATACTTATGCTGATAATTGTAAGGCATGAACTTCTTCTTCTTTTTTCCAAGCTGAAAAATAAAACAAAGAACACTGTAATGATCTAGTTGGAGAACTGAGATCCTTCATAAATGTTTATTCTTATCTAATGAACACATCAAGAACTACCTATTAAATCTCTTTAATCCAAAAGCAGGCACTGAAGGTCTGAAGCAGTGGAAAGAAATATCTTATTTGAGCCTCCGTATCAAGATATCAATATGTGTTGATGCCAGAACACAACAGTTTCTGTGGAGAGTTCCAAAACTCATAGTAGGGTACAGAAATACACAAAAATAACAAAAAAAAACCAAAAGGCATTTGAATTTTGCAGGGGAAGATTCCAGTGGTAGCAATGAGATTCAGTGTAATCATGTTCAGACATTCACCACAGAATGCTTAAATCATCTGTGCTTGGGGAGGAAGAGGTTATTCAGGTGAAGAGTGAAAACTGAGACAGGAAACAGTGGGTGATGAATGCAGGATGTGTCTGCTGAGAAAACTGCGCCTAAATTTCTGTATCAGATGAGCTATGGGCTGAAGACATCCAACAAAATGAAACCACTGAAATGCTTTCTGCCCATCCACAGTGCATCTGACTCATTTCTGTTAAAAGATAGACTCTAGATACTGCACTACTGCTCAAGTTGATGCTATCAGACATCTTTCAGAAGGTCACTGTCTAGATGCTCTCATGTTGCAGCTAACAGTTTGCTATTAATAAATACTTTGTATAAACTCTCTTCCCAAGAGTCTTCCTGAGACAGCAGAGCTGGAATTTTCCACATCCATTGTAAAGATTTCATTGCTTATTACCCTCTAATGGAGAGTGACGCATTATTTAAAGAGAATGCTTATCTAAGCAAGAGGTCATTTCTTCATTCCATGAGTAAACAGAATTGCTGATGAAAGAAAAGGCAGGAGATCTTACCTGCCTGAAACCTGAAATCCTGGGAAAGAGGGGGAGCAGTGATTACGGATTTATTTTTATGAGATTAAAAAGAGAAAAAAAAAAAGGGGGGGGGGGGATTAAGAACTAATTTATATGCTTGTGTTTTGTGCATATCAACTACACTGGTGCCGAAGGATTTAGGTGCCAAGCAGGTCCTACAACCAAAAGGACCCAGAGGGAACATCTGACTCAATATCTACAATATCACTAAAATCATCTAACACTAATCAAGTGGACTGACTCATTGTTTGGAAGGCCTTCGAGGTACTTACCCTGCTCTTCTAGCAACACAGAGAACTTAACTACTGATTTTAAGAGTTTGCGGCCTAAGCATCATGATAACCAGGCCCCAGGTTGGTACTTAAGTAAGATATCTTGAACTTGAACCTTAGTGAGAATGCATCCAGCAAGGATCTCCTCCTGGGAGCGTGGGAGTCAGAGCAATCTGACTGTGAGACTCTCAGATCAACCAACACTTTGGAAATTACAGAATCATAGAATTGTTTGATTTGGAAAGGACTCGTGAAGGCTGTCTAGTCCAACTCCCCTGCAAGGAACAGCAACACCTATAGCTAAATCAGGGTACTTGGGATCCCTGTCCAGCCTGACCTTGGAGGTCTCCAGGGATGGGGCATCCACCACCTCTCCGGGCAACCTGTTCCAGTGCCTCACTACCATTATTGTAATAAAACTTCTTATATCCAATCTAAATTTGTCCACTTTTAGTTTGAAACCATTTCCCCATTTTTCATACAAATTTAGGCAGAAAGACATAATTCAGGTTATTATACTTCAGTTCTGTCTTTTTTGCCAAAGGTCCTCTAGATCCATACCCACCTCTACAGAGAGTGTCTTTCCCAAGCTGAACAGGAGAGGGTGCATGTTGAGATCGGGGTCCTTGCGGAAGCAGTTGGGTTTGGCGTGGTGCTGATTGTGCAGATGATTCCACCAGCTGGCCGGTAAACCCTGCAGAAAAAGCCAAATACTGGGGATTTAAATAGAACTCCATCACTGATCATTATTGTCAACCTATCACTGACAACTGCACTATATTTTCCTCACGGGTAATGCTGTCTGAATGTAGAGTCACTCCCGTTCATTATTTAGTCCAGATTAGGCCCAGAGAATGTTCTCACAGTAAGGCAATTACCTTCAGGGTATTTATCACAATGATCTGCAGCAGATGGTTCCATTTAGGCTTCCTAAAGACAGAGCAGTGCCCCAGATCGTGTTGGAACCAGCCCATCTGGATCTAGAAGACAAAAGAATCGCCAGGGATTCAGAATCATAGCAGTGTTGTACTAATTTGCTCCCGGGAGTCTTCTTAGTACCATGGCATGAGATCATCTCCCTCAGATCTGGGGAAGAATTACATGCAGTGCTATCTGCTCAGTGCTGAGAACTTCCTTTCAGACCACTGCCTATTAAAGATGCTCAATGCCAGATATTGATTTTGTTGTACAGCAAAAAATCATTACAATGAGTTTGACTCTTAGAGCATATGAGTCTCTTGTTCCCATCAAAAGTATATATAATTTCCAAGTAACCATCTAGAAAGTGCAATAATTTCCAAATCCAGAGCTTCATTGCACTTCGCAGCAGAAAACTGTTCTGAATTAATGAGTGGGGTTGGCGCATGACAGACCAAACATCAGAGCCATCAGACAGTAAACAGAACTTGGAACCAGAAATGGAATTGAGAATGAGATGTTCCCTCTTCTGTCGGGGTGAGTGATTAGATCAGCCCATCTCATCTTATAAAGCTGCCTACTTAACCTCACAACACCACACCAGTCAGAGTGAAAAGGTTTTCAGCAAACCTAGGCTTGCTGAAAGCAATAAAAACTGCTTGTTGTCTTCAATCAGCTTATTAGATCTAAGAGGACATAGTAAGTCAGTGACTGGAAGATGAACACTTCATTGATCCTCTCCATGGGATGAAACAAACACGTCCACACAATTGAATTGTTGTCAGTGGTTTACCTGAGCAATGGTGAAGAATGCCATGCCAACAACGAAGGGCACTAATGATATCCCGAAGTACCAGACTGTCAGCCAGGATGCAGCATCCAGTACCAGGAGGTGAAGGAAAATCAGGGAGAAAAAGGTGGAATCTGGATTCAGAAGTCCCATCTTCTCAACAGTGCAGCGCAGCTCACGGAAGTCTTCTAAAAGTGATTTCTGTGGGTAAAAGAAGTATTAATGTGCTAGCTACTTTGACAATGCAATACAGCAGATCCAGAAATCCTGGAGTGGCCATGGAAACATTCACGTTCATGCTGGATGGGCTCTGAGCATCCTGATCCAGCTGTAGGTGTCCCTGTTCACTGCAGGGAATGTTGGACCAGATGGCCTTTAAGGGTCTCTTCCAACTCAGACGATTCCATGATTCTAAGTCAGTGGAGATACTTCATCAGTGGGGTGTCTTCACAAGAATGAGCGCAAGATCAGTAGATCTCAGCTTTGCTTTGACACTCGAAACAAGTTGCTGACGGACTGTGTCAGTGAGACATCACAATGGGAAGAACTGATCAGATACTGGTACTCTGGAGCCCATTCCTCACACCCAAGTATGGATCTAGCTTTTTTGGGACAGTGCTGTGTGTTTCCATGCATGACTATGGCAGCTACCTCCCCACCCAGCCTAGGGCACAATGTCAATTATATTGTCCCAGAAATTATATCTACCCCTCTTTTGTATTTCTCCTCCCATGCAGTACCCCAAGTCATGTCACAGTTAGTTTCTAGGACACTCACCTTTTTGTTAGACTCAAAGCTGGGTTGATCTGGTGCCAGTTCCCCAATCAGCAGAGACTTCAAGTATTTTTTCACCAGAGCCTTATCACTGTGAAATGCTACAAAGGCATCCTACAAATCAATACACAGACAAATGGGATAAGAAAGGTATACTGCTAAAGTACCAGATGGCCAAGTCTACATTTTCCCATATCATTGATATAATACATAATCCTGATTCCTTTTCTTTCCCAAAGACCTTCAGAGCTCTGTTCCTTCAGTTGTTCCTGTAGTGCTTTGCCATCAGCTGGAGCTTGGCCCAAGGAAGCTGGAGAAGTTTCAAGAAACTAGATGTCATATAAGTATCTGGGTGAGGCTGGTAATGAGTACGAAAGTGTTTGATGAAGAACTATTTGCAGAGGGAAACATTCTCTTTCATCTGTCTCTTTCAACACCATCCTTCCTTAGAAGGCTTCAGCCAGCAGCCCTGCCCTGTGGATGGGACCCAGGAGTAGGAAAACACATCAGTGAGGTGTCTCCTTGCCACACTTCGGAAAATACAATGATGTTGTTAAAACCCTGCCTTTATCACAGTAGTATCAATGGAAATAAACATATAAAGGGCTATCTAGCTTTCTCTTACAGTTGCCTGTTTTGAGATTAATTGACATTTTGGGCAACTGAGTAACACAAGTGACACAAACATATATGTTCAAGAACCAATCATAGTACCAGTTTCAAAAGGAAATATAAACTATGGGATAAAGAAAACAGAAAGCCCCAGATAAATCACAGCTCTTCTTCAACTTATCTCCTCAGTGGATTTCCCAGAGGGAAGGTGAAGAAGCTGGCCATGCTCGTTTATCTTCCAGAAAGAGTCAATATTGCAAAACCCTCAGTGTCTGACCAGTCACATCCACACAAATTTTCTCTCTGCAATAAACTGAGGTAATCTTTTATTCATGACACAAAAATTTCTGCACACACTTCCAGACAAGAAGAGGATTTTCCTTGTGCAGTTTGGCATTCCTCTTGAGTCTGACTTCAGAAAAGGCCCATCTCTGAGCACTTTACTCAAGTCAGAGAAAAGTGATGTTTTGAACAGATGAGATTTCTACAGACATCTCATGGCCCTTTGTCACAGGGAATAATTAGAAATTATGCCCAGATCCAGTGGTCTGGGGAAATCTTTCTGCTATGAGTCTGTGTTCTCTCTGCAACTACCTTACTTTACCACCTTACACGAGATTACTTTAAAGGACTATCATCTGCAATGGACCTTACTTCCCAAACTTGACAGGAGTGTAACATTCTGCAAAGAGTATTGTTTATGTTTGCAAAGTAATGCATATAGAGGAAGATAATTCTCACCATATCTTTAAAATGAGCTCTAGGTTGCTCAAGAGTGCTTGGAAAACATCTTGGACTTTAGGTTTGAGAAGAGAATGAAGGAGATCCAAAAGGGTTTTTTCCTTCACTTGAGAACACAAACTGAGGAACGGAAAGAACAGTCTACTTTCTGGAAGCCAGAAAATCTGTCATGACAAGAGTTAAACTTGGGTCCCCTCACTACACGTTTATATTGTAATCCTGGTCTTGCTTCTGAGAGTTCAGAAATTCAATATCAACCCTTAATAAATAATCTATGAAATCTGCTTAAAAATCATCATCTCTTTCAACGGTTAAAAAACTCAGTGAGATCCTCTAAATCAAAGATTTTTGCAAGTGTCTCTAGAACATCTACTTTCAGATGGACTGTTTGTAGAAAGTTTCCTCGTCTTCTGCAGCCAAATGTCATTCTGTTGATTTCTCAGTTGTTTTTCTTGTGTTTTATTCTTCTTAGAATTTTTGTTCAAGACCTTCTTTTCCATCACTCGTTCAAAATACAGTCCTTACCTTGGTTACTTTCTTTTCTTGCTCCACTGGCCCCAGAATTAATTCCTCTTTATCTCTGAACATTACCTCCTCCTTATTCATCCCCTTGTTCTATTTTTGATTATCCTTGGCTTCTATCATATCTGGAAGCGTTCAGACATTAAAACAGCAGTATGCACTGAGTGTACCACTTCCCAATCTCTTCCCTTTCACTGTACTGCAACAGAAAGACTTTGCAGATACTTGGAAGACAGCTTGTATGCATGTGCACTGTTTACATTTTAATGTAATGAACCTGAACAGAGCTTTATAATTTACATAGCAGTTAACTCTGATCTTGAGGGTAACCTGGAAGGTACTTTTACAAGCAGCACAGATACATCCACTACCTTATTGCAGAATCACAGAATGGCTCGGGTTGGAAGGAACCTCCAAGATCACTGAGCTCCAACCTCTGCTGTGAGCTGGTTGCCACCCACCAGATCAGGCTGCCCAGAGCCCCATCCAACCCAGCCTTCTCTGACTGAGCATGGTGTCAACCATTACAAGTGTTCTCCACTGGAGTCCAACCGTGTCCTCCTGTCCTGGCACTGGAACCACATTCCTCCACTCCATCCCTAGATCTTACCGTTGCATCTTGTCCGGCATAGTGGCCAATAACCCGGCTGCCTCCAGGGTGCCGTCTGGAAAAACTGCTGACGTCGTAAACGTTCCTGTCAATCACCAGCCACTGCTCCTTACTTGGGCCACGGCCGTTGTGGATTCGGATCTCGTCCCAAGTGAAAAGCTGTAGAAAGGTTGAAACAGGTTTCCTTTCCTTTACTGTGGAGCCAGTCTGTGGAGCCATCTGCACTTCTGGATGTGCATTCAGCACTGAGATTCACTCATGTCAGCCTCGCCGTGCTGCGTTCGGACAGATGAGCCATGTCAGCCTACCCGTTATACAGTCTGAGTCCCAACCACACCCTGTGCTTCCAGGGCTGGTTGACTCCCTTCGCACAAACACACCCTCTTCTTCCACGCTCACACCAGACTCCTTGACACACCCATGAGTAAATGCCCTGTTTCTTCTTGTCCTTTCTGAGTTGCCACTGGAAGGTCTGATTACTCAAGAGACCTGTAGGCTACTTCACTGAATACATATATACACGCACTGAAAGATTTAGGAAGATAACTTAGAATCTGCTATTCAATCAAATCAGATGGCAATGTGATGAAAGAACAATATATTAAGTGACCTTCGTAGAGCATTAGGAAATGGATAAAGCAAGCTGTTAGCCAGTTTCCATATTTGAATGAACATGGATCTTAGCCAGAAGAGAAATCTGAGGAACTGTGTTGGCTGTTCTACAGGTAATATTCTGTGATAATTGTAGAAAACTGAAGCACTTTTAGCATTCCGTAATGCTTGAGCATGTCATTAATCCTACACTTACCATACAGTATATCTCTGTAATGTCAAACAGAATCAAAATAAAAAACTGTAAGGCAACCTGTGCACTCAGCCAAAAGTTGCCCATAAATATGTTTGCTAGCATATCTCATTCAATTGTAATTCCTGCTAACAAAGCATGGAGCTTATGTCTACACAAACAGAGTGAAAACAGCAGAATGCTCCGAGGTCTGCAATCTCTCCATGATATATCTCAAATTCTTTCCGATTGAGTCACATCATTTTTGTGCCTGACCCAGAAAAAACAAAGCCCACAATATATGAAACACTGCCATCTTTCAAATCTGGTATTTTTTAATCTGAAATTACCATCCGTGGGTGCTTTTGAGGAAGGTAGAAGAATATGCAGCTATGGCATAGCCTGCCTCATCAGATTTTCATCCTATCCTTTTATAACATAACACTGAATTAAGTCCTGAATTATGAGCTTTCCCCTTTACTCCAAACTTTTTGTTTGCGTTTATTAATTTACTGCATTTGAAACCAGAAGTCATAGAATTGTAGAGTGGTTTGGATTGGAAGAGACCTTAAACATGGAGCTGTTGTTCACAAGCCTTTAATTCCTTACCATTGTGTGATCCATCACTCAAACTCATTTCTCTCCAGTTTAGAAACAAAGATGCTGTGCTAGACAGTGTCAAATACTTTGCACAGATCCAGCTAGATGATATCACTTGCTCTCCCCTTATCCACCACTGCTGTAACCCCGCCATAGAAAGCCACCAAACTTTTCAGGCATAATTTGCCTTTAGTGAAGTCATGCTGGCTCTCACCAATCACCTCTGTTCTCCGTGTGCCTTAGCACAGTTTCCAGGATGATCTGCTCTACGATCCCTGATCTGCTGGGCATAAAGTTGAGACAGATTGGCCTGTAGTTCCCCACATCTTACTTTCTTCCATTTAAAAAAATGTGGCTTATGCCACAATGTCTTAAATAGGATGGCAGCTTGATCCACCAGTTCCCTTAGGATTCATAGACACGTCTCATGGACTTGTGCACCTTCAAGTTCCTTAGATGGCCTCAACTGTGGTCTTCTACACTGGAGGGTTCTTCCTTCTTTCAGTCCTAGGCTTTCCTTTCTGCAGCTTGGGCAGCGTGGCTAGAGCATTGCTGGTGAAGAATGAGTCAAAAAAGTCATTAAGATGCTTAACTGAGACACCCCCGTTAATGTAACAGTTGGCCTAACCTCCCCCAGTATTGCTAAGACAGGCTGCTCCACAAAATGATTCTTCCCACCTTCTCTTTCTCACCTGACTCATAGTTTGGTCTGTACAGGAAGAAACAGTTACAGTTTACAGGTTCGAAGTAAAAAAACTATAAACTCGTTTCTGTTTGATAGTATCACTGCTGTCATGAATGTAGCCAAGCCGTGTTCTTGAGCAAGGTACTTTAGCAAGGTGAGGTCCAGTTTTGCCTGTGTACTCTCTCTCCCAGACAGACAGCGTGCAGAAGGCCCAGACAAGCATTGCTCGAAGGGATGATCTTCTGCATCAGAAGAAAGGCTTCATTTAGTGTATGTAGAATAACTTAACTTTGGAGATTTTCTGCTTAAGAAACTGGAAAGGAGTTCACAGGCTGTCTGTGCTAAAAGTGATTGTGAAGTTCTTCTTCTTACAGTTACCTTTCTTCATATACTCTGTGCAGTTCTCAGACTGCAAGCAGTGCCGAATGTGAAGTCTATTTTTGTCTTCCTTTATTTTCTGTAACAGTAGCACAAGAACCATTGGACATCACACACAGTAGACATCTGCCTCAGCCCTGCATGGAGCAGGCAGGCATTCTGGCTGACAGCTGTAAATGTTGCAATTCTAATGCTTCAATCACATAGCATCTTGCAAATTAATCACTCAGGCACATAACATCCATTTAAATATCCCGATGTGTAGCAATGCTTGAACCACCCTAGCTGAAAGAGAAATGGGACTATTGATATTCATTAAAAGGCAGTGATAAAAGAACGAGAGAAAAAAAATTACACTGTTCTGCCACATGGCATTTTGTAACTCTTTATCTTGGTCTAAGTAGAAGTGTCTCCACAGACATGTTTTTGTGTTCACATTCCGGAGATGTGTGTGGAGCAGTACATCATACAGACAGCCTGATCCACACTTGTAGTGGTGGTAAAATATGCAATAGTTGTTGTAAATGTGGGTTGTTGTTTTTTTAAGCACTTGCAAAAAAAAAAAAAAAAAAAAAAAAGTGAAGTTACTCTATGGCTGTCCATAAAACTTGCAAACCTAGCAGCTACCTGAAAAGAAACAGATGAGAATGGAGGTTTTGTTTCTGGTCCACAAGGAGATGGAGAACACAGAGCCAAGAAGATACTGGTGTTAACAAACATGGAATGTTTCAAACACATCCATTCCCCATCTGAAAGCAAAATCCCTTTGTCTGTGTTATCCAGGTCACAAAACACATTCCAGGGCTGCACAAAAAAGTCCAGATAGTGAAAGCCACAGCAGGCATGTTTACCCAGAGAAGCTATTGGGAAATCTGTTAAGGTGAATTTGCACCATAATGTTCTGCAATAACAGCCCACACACCTGCAAAATCTATATGGTACACAACTGGGAGCTTGTGCAGATGCACAGAGCTCTGTCTGTGACATCTCCTTGCAGAAGCACTTGACATAGTTATCCAGATCTCCAGAAATTCAGTGACTGCTGAACTGGCAGCTAGTACAACAATGTTTTTATCCAGTATATATCCAGTGTATATCCATCTATTTTCACTTAGTTCACTGCAGATAAACTGGCACAGCACAGAGCAGCCCTAGATCCAAAAAGAATATAGTACTAAGGTACACAGAACTTAAGTACTTTGTTTCCAAGAAAATATCATCCCTGGAATGTCTGAGCTGCCCTGAGTGCCCTGACGAGCCCTGCAGCTTCTTTCTCCTCCCCACAGCACCTGTCTGTGCTCAAGGCCAGCTCTGAACATGCACAGCCTGTGCACTGCAAAAAGAGCCCAAAGTGCTGTGAGAAGCCTTTGCCCTGCATGGGAGCTGTTGTTCTGCTCAGGGAATCGAATGCTGTGGGATCTAGGCTGCTCAAAGACTGTATGAGCTTAGGAAGAATTTCTGCTTTAAAGGAGTGGTGATGCAGTGGCACAGGCTGCCCAGGGAGCTGCTGCAGTTACTGCCCCTGGAGGTGTTCAAGAAGCTCAAGAGACGTAGCACTGAGGGACGTGGTTTAGTGGGGAAATATCAGTGGTAGGTGGATGATGGGACTAGATGATCTTAGAGGCATTTTCCAACCTTAATGATTCTGTGATTCTGCAATTCAGTCCATTCCTTAAATCTGCTATAAGTAGTAAGCTATCATATATTTCTTGATTGTTTTTCCCCTGTGAAAGCAATTTTTGTCTCTTTTTCAAAAGAGAAAAAGCACCCATGAAACCCTACCATTTGGGTGGTAGCAAACTTTGCTTTCACTCTCAGTTGTTTTTTATGGGTGAGCAATAATAATTAAGAAAGATGCTGAGAACTCTGCCATGCTATTACAGTGAGGCTCTGTCATAAGCACTGTGAAACTCTCATCTAAAACTCTACGCATTGCATCATTTGTAACTGCATGCTCACATTCTTTGTAATGAGGGCCAATAATAAACTATTCAACAATCACCACATACCCCTATGCTGTGCATCTCCTTTAGCTCCTAAGAAGTTCCTAAGAGCTTCTTAAGAAGTTCCTAAGAAAGCCCCACTGGCATGCTCCAGCTCAAGGTTTAAGGTCCAAATTCAGCAGAATCTAAGATCACCATTTATATTGTTACAGAGGAACTAAAACACACAGTGATCCAAGCTAGAATTGTTTAATGTCCATGACGGAACCATTTTGTCTTCCCACTGTTATAATTTGGGATTTGTTTTTTCATACCACTCAGCATTTTTTTTAGCAGTTTCTGAGTTCAGCACACTGATTGCAAACACAAATGTGCATCCACAAAAGAAATACCCTGCAAAAGGCAATCAAGCTTGAACACTTTTTAATACACGACTTTTGCAACACCAATTAGGAACCACAGCATAAGCAAGGATTAAAACACCCACAATAGTTCTACTGCCTACACACAGAACACCATCCTTTTGTCCTTCCTGCAAGTCTCAGGCTCCCTGCCAGCTTTACAACACAGGAGGCAGGGATCCTGCAATCACTTGCCTCCTGCCCAATATGGAACCAAACCCCCACTGGAGTTTTCTTGCAGGCAAATTACCTGTGCTGATCCTTATGGCAGCCTTCTCAGGCACAGAAGCACACTGCTCACCTGCATCCATGAGCACTTCTTCACGCTTCCCTTGCTTTCAGAGCGGTGTGGCTGATTTCTCAGCTGCAGAGGCATAATTCAGTCTTCAAATACAATGCAGTTTTTGCCTTTATGGGAGCTGGTAGGTTAGGTCAGTGGTTGGACTTGATTATTTTGGAGGTCTTTTCCAACCTAGATGATTCTAAGGCTGTATAGCTAAGTTAACCGGAGTACTGGTTGTGCCCTCTGGTTTGGTATCAGCAGTGGATCTGAAGAAGGTGCATCCATCCATCACTCAGATCGCTGATGATGTTAGACTGTACTGGCACCAAGAATGCCAAGATGTGACACAAACAGCTGAAGTCGGTTTTGCTAAAATATTTTCCAGATGCAAAACTCATTTTCTGCTTTCGTTCTGAATAGACACATCTACTTGTTGCCAGGTCTATAGATTCATCACTTGCTTACACAGATCTTCAGTAACTTTCTACTGTACTGATCCTTTCCCAGACACATATTACTGTGTGTATTCACGGCATAGCAATATTTGCACGGAGAGGTGGTGGGTGCCCTGTCCCTGGAGAAGCTGAAGGTCAGGCAGGACAGGACCCTGAGCACCTGTATGGTGTAGGTTTCCCTGCTCGCTACAGGGGAGTTGGACCAGACGGCCTTTAAGAGTCCCTTCCAGCTCAAATGATTCCAGGATTCTATGGTTCTATTCTATGCATTTTGACCAGGAGACAGGACTCAGACTTTAACTTCTCTCTATCCTCTCCCCATAGACCTCACTTCTTCTCAGTCCTTTTTAATATACATGGCTGAAGAAGCTTTTACTAATTGCTTTAATTTCTTTTGCAAAGTTGACATTTAGCAATGCCTACTTGCACTTTCATGACCTTTTCTCTACTCTCTGCATTTGTAATCTGCTTCAGCGTAGATCCTCATTAACGTAAAATACAGTCCTGAATTTATTTCTCCCCTCCTTAGAAAAGAAGTCCTGTAAGGTTTTTATACTGGGGTTCCCGCACAGTCCTAGCTGAATACACAACTCCAAACAGTCTTCTACATGTTAGCAAGGCCAAGTATCCATGCCTGGGAGAGAGAGACGCCTTGAGTAGCTTGTTAACTGCCACAATTGGTACTACAGAGAGAGGGCTCTCGGTGGAGTCTGTGGAAGTCGCACAACCTACAGAAGTGAAACTCAGAAGTCAAGATAGAAGTGGGAGCTGGAAACAATCACAGAATACTAGCTATTCATAGAATCATAGATCCATAGAATCATTAAGGTTGAGAGGACCACTAAGATCATCCAGTGCAAACATCAGTCCATGCCTGTGACCGCTCTAGACCACGTCCCACACTGCCACATGCACCCTTTCTTGAACATCCTCTGGGGTGGTGACTCCATCACCTCCTGGGCAGCCTGTGCCAGTGCCTCATCACTTTTCTTAATATCCAGCCTGAATCCCCCCCGGTGCAATATAAAGCCATTCCCTTTCATCTTATCACTATTACCCAGGACTAGAAGCTGACCCCCGCTTCACTACAACCTCATTTCAGGTAGTTGGTTGGGTTTTTTCAGTATTTTTTTGGTCAAAAGGGAAGCTCCTTTTTTTCTTTTTTTTTTTAAATAAATTTCTGAGTCAGATCTCTCAAACATTAATAATTTGATAACCGCAAGGATACTCGAGAAATGCACAAAGGCAAAAATCTAGCACGTTCAGACCAGGGACCCTGGACTGCAGAAATAGGAACTATTGCTATTATAGGAACTACAGCCATGTTCCTGTCCCATTTGTTTTGATTTTCTTTTTTGTGCTCAGGCTTATCAGCAGTTGATGAGAGAAATCAGTTTTGCCTCTCTGCAAACAAGGGAAGCATGCTGAAGAAGAACTTACAGGTGCTGGTGAGCAGTGGGTTTATACAGGCAAGAGGGCTGTCCTCTAGCTCAGCACAGGCAAAGAGATTCCTGCAAGAAGATCCCACATGGAGTTTGGCTGTAAGAGCATTAAACTCTAGAGACATTAGAGAATCCTGATGAGCCCTATTGCCCTGGTATGACTTCAGCTTTACAAACCTTCTTTTAGCGTCAGGAAAAAAATCCCCCATTTTCTGCCTCTAGTCTTGCATCTGATGACACAAAGTTCAGGAATCTGTTCTATTCCTGTATTAACATGTTCAGCTTCACAGCAGTTACTGGCAGTGACTGGCTTTCGCTTAAGTGAGGTCCTCTTAGAAGATGTCTGTTAGACACAGACCATAATAAGAACTAACTACTCAGAATGTCTGAAACCTGAATAAGACTCCAGCTGGCCTTTTTCCTTATTGTTTAATTCTCTAGATCAGTAACGTCAGAATATTTGCTCAACACAAGTATTTGTAGCTTTCTATTTTCAATTGAAGCCACATTTCTGATCTTCTTTGTAGGTGAGGGAATAAAACAAAGAAAACATCAAACTGACTAAGTCATAAACTCAGTTCATTGGCAAAATCTTCATTTTCCTGTCCCTTTTATTTTTCTGTTTTTTTTAAACTTGGGCAACATCCAGCATTTATTACTTCATCTGGTTCATTTTTCATAACAATGATTGCGAGATGATCCTGGAAGGGAATTGCAACATTTACATCTTTTCCAGAAGCACTTATGATTCTGTATTTGAGGTCCCTTCCCACCCAAGCCATTCTATGATTCTGTTTGGTTATGTTTCTAAAAGATTATTTTAGAAGCACTCAAGTTCATCTCAGAGAGTCCACCAGGCAGTCATGCAATGACGACAGTGGTGGTCACAGGACTGCCCCAATCTTTTTCTGCGTGAAAGCAGGCAACAGCTTTTGTTTAGAAGAAAGT